GGTGATGGGTGTGGTGTTAGAATTATGTGCATGAAAAAACATTATTAACAATATTGTAAACCACAGAACGTCAATCAATTACAAATTTTTATGAATAGTAAAAAAATAAATAAAATCCCTAAGTGGTCTGAAATAAAGAATGGATTTTAGATAACAATATTATTGATATATATGTCAGTAAGATTATATTGGCTCACCGACTATAACAAAAGTACCACTTATGCATGATAGTAATAATAGGGGACAGACCGGAGTTGTTCTGGGAGCCCCAAGAAATATTGGGTAGAAGCAGAGCCAGGTACTGTATCCCCAGGAGTGTGGCCCAGGAGTCAACAAAGAACAGCCCCCCCCCCACACACACACCAAAAACGATTAATGACAAATATCTTTGCATGGGTTATATGGGAACTAGAAGTACTAGTTGTGTAATACTTTTGTAAGTATAAATCTATTCTAAAATAAACACTGTATTTAATACCTAAACAACAACAAAGGGCCTGATTATAAAATCATGACCATTTCAGAATATGGAGCCAAGAGCAGAAACAAAGCATTATATCTAATGGGAGAAGGGGCACACCCAGAGGTGCTCAGGGCTTACTCCTGGCTCTGCACTCCTGGCAGATGACTCCTGGAGGAACTCAGGGAACCACGTGGGTGCTGGAGATAAAACCCAGCCAGCTGCAGGGCTGGAGTGACAGCACAGCGGGTAGGGCGTTTGCCTTGCACACGGCCGACCTGGGTTTGATTCCCAGCATCCCATATGGTCCCTTGAGCACTATCAGGAGTATTCCTGAGTGCAGAGCCAGGAGTAACCCCTGAGCATCGCTGGGTGTGACACACACACACACACACACACACACACACACACACACACACAGCCAGCTTCAAGACAAGCAACCTACCCAGTGTACTATTGTCTCTCCAGTCCCTATATGTATTTTTTAACTTTAACTTTCATCAATCTCTTTTGAAGAAGAAAGAAGAGAGTCTGGGAGATGAATTGGACAGTGGAGCACAGCTTCACATACAGGATGACCAGCTCTGATCTCCAGCACCATATGTCACACAGGGCACTGAGCTAAGAGTAGCCTCCGAGCATGAAGTGAAAAACAAGCGGGAGAAAAATAAGAGATCTATTTGTTTGTTCATTTGGCCATACTTGGCATGCACAGGGCTTGCTCCTGGCTCTGCACTCAGGGATCACTCCTGGTGGTGCTCTGTTATGCTCTATTATTACTCAAGGGACCCTATGGGGTGTTGGGGGATGGAACTTGGGTCAGCCTCGTGCAAGATAAGTGCCCTACCTGCTGTACTATCGCTCTGGCTTCCAAGAAGAGATTTTTTTAAATGTAAAGTATTCAACTGAAAAGAGCTGAAACTCAGACATTGGAGGAAAGAAGGCATTCTTAAATAAGACGCAACTTAAAGGTAAAAGGTAAAGGCCCTCCCGTTGATCGTCGATTTGCTCGAGCAGGCCCAGTAACGTCTCCATTGGAGACTTTGTTGTTACTGTGTCTGGCATATCGAATACTCTCTCCGAGCTTGCCGGGCTCTCCGAGAGGGGCGGAGGAATCGAACTCGGGTCGGCCATGTTGGCTGCGTGCAAGGTAGACGCACTACCCGCTGTGCTATCGCTCCTGTTTGATATCGTAAAGCAGAAAGTACTTAAACTTGAAAAATAATCACAAACTCAGGAAAGCCCTGGCCGCCGTCTGGGAGAATGTACCAGCCGTACATATGCCCGTGTGATCCAGACGAGCCCAGATTACAGAGACAGTGGCTGAGTCAACAGGGAATGGCCAGGACAGAAGAGCAGGTGGAGGGAATGCGTCTCCGCGGTTGCCTTAGGAAGGCCAGTCCATCTCTCTGGAGAGCAGGGAAATGCAAACAAAGGCAGCACAGTCCCATAGCCTCCTGCTCCCACTCAGCATCAGATTAGCAGAACGTAGGTTCATGCTTAAGAGAGGGTGAGAATGGGAGAAGACCTTCTCTCAGATGGAGCTGGATGAATCTGTTTATTGGCCGAGATCATGGCAGCAATTAGGCGGAATCTGATCAGACTGAAATGGGGAAACCCTTCCATCCTATTCTTAGTATCTATCTCAGAAGCATTTGTATATATTTGACATATTATAGATTTATGCTGTGATTCTAATATTGTAATATGATAAAAATTTAATATTATCTATTATAATGACATAATCAAATACTATAATGATATATAGTACATATTGCATAACTATATGCAATACCAATAGAAATATATATTATATTTTTATATACATATATATACTTTCTACATATATAATATTATATCAAGAGAGAAACGCCATTCACAAATGCACAAAGAGGAATGTTCAAGAATTTGTCCCAAGCACAAAAATTTGTAAGTCTACAACTATACCTCATGGTGTCTCACTAAAAAAATAAAAAAAAAAAAAAGAATTTGCACTGCTGGGACCAGAGAAAGTGCTCATCAAGTTAAGTGTTTTGCATGCAGGAAACCCAAGGTGATACTATATGATCCCCTGAACACTGCTGGGAGCAACCCCTGAGCATTGCTAGCGGTAGCCCCAAAACAAACAAACAAAACTTTTTGCATGTCAGGCCAGGGAGCTATTTCTAAGGGCTCATGAACAACTACCTGTTTTGCAGGTATGAGTCCTGGATGCGATCCCTGGCATTGTGTGGTTCCCAAAGAACCATAAGAGAGGATCCCACAAACATTGAGCTAGCACCTGAGCACTGTCAGACGTGGCCCCCCAAATTCATGCCCCCCCCAGAGACTTTTCATTGCAATATTATTTGTAATCTGGATAAAATCCAAAAGTCCATTAGGAAATATTTCTGTAGTTTGAAAACCCCATTCAGCAGTTTAAAAAATGAGTGTACGTACCAAAGTGGGCAAACACAGAATTATCTTCAAGTTGTATGGTTCCATGAGGAAAGGATGTTGCAGAACATTATGTGCAGTTTGACCACAACCGTGTGGAGAAGAAAAAGAAAGGCTGGAGAGATAGAACAGAGGATAAGGCACCAACCCAGCAAGAGGCTGTGACTGTGACTCTCGTTCTAATCTCGGCAATGCTTATGGTTCCCTGAGATCTGCCAGGAGTGACCCCTGGTGTCTCATCTACAAAAAATTTAAAGGGAATTAAAAATACATAAGTTCGGAGCTGGAGTGATAGCACAGCAGGTAGGGCATTTGCCTTGCACGCAACCAACCCGGGTTCGATTCCCAGAATCCCATATGGTCCCCCAGCACCTCCAGGAATGATTCCTGAGTGCAGAGCCAGGAGTAACCCCTGTGCATCGCCAAAAAGCAAATATTATATATATGTTTATGTGGACATATTTATTTTCTTTTCTTTGGGTTTTGGGGCCACACTCATTAGTGCTCAGGAGTTACTCCTAGTTCTATGCTCAGGAAGTACTCTTGGTGAGCTCAGGGAACCATAGGGATACTGGGGATCAAACCCAGGTCAGCCTCATGCAAGGCGAGCAGCCTACTTGCTGTACTATCTCTCCGGCTTTTAAGGCCATATTTCCCCACTTTACCTTGTAGGACAGTTGTATGCAGGATACACACCAAAATGACAGGGATGGACAGTCATCTTGGGAAGGTGTACAGAGAGGCAGGGAAGAGGGAGGGTATCTGAAAGCTTTTGTCGTATCCGTATTTTTGAAAGTGCATACAATGAAAATTCAACTATAATTATTGATTCATTCAAAATTTGAAAATTCAGAAAGTTACAAGTGCTGAGGTGGATGAGCAAAAGGATAGATGGGTTAAGTACAGCTGTACAGTTACAGAGCACCATGAATAAGAAGATCCAAAAACTCAACTAACAAAGAGATATAAAAATAATAATAGGTGCCTTAAAGATAGCACAGGCGTGGGGCTGGAGCGACAACACAGCAGACAGGGTGTTTTGCCTTACATGCAGAAGACCTGGGTTTGGAATTCCCAGCATCCCATATGATTCCTTGAGCATAACCAGTAGTAATTCCTGAGTGCATGGGCCAGGAGTAACCCCTGTGCAAGGCCGGGTGTGACCCAAAAAAGAAAAAAAAAAGATAGCAGAGGGGTTACGGTGCTTGTCTTACATGTGGCCAACCCAAGTTTAATTCCCAGCATCCCATACGGCCCCCTGAGAAGTATCAGAAGTGATTCCTGAATTCAGAGTCATAAGTGACCCCTGAACAACGCCAGGTATGATAAAAAAAAAAAAAAACAACCAACCCAACAAACAAACCTGGGCCTCCTATACATGTTACTCCAGCATGTTGAACTCTCTGTCTCTCTCTGACTCTGTCTCTTTGTCTCTATCTCTGACTCTCTCTGTCTCTTTCTCTATCTGTGGCCTAACATAATTTTTGAAACAAATTCTATACCCAGCCGATCAAAGTCAAAGATAATTATAAGTGAGACATTTTTAGACATTAGGATCCTTTTCTGAAAATGTTAACTCAAGACCTATCTCAGCAAAATATTTAGTTGTGGGGCCACAAACCTGCAGTACTCAGGGGCTACCTCCAGCTTAGTGCTCAGGGATCAATCCCAGTGGTGCTTGGAGGCCTACGCAGTACTATGCTGGGGATCAGGCCTGTCTGCAAAGCATGAGCGCCAAGCCACTGAATTAATTCTCCAGCCCCTGTCCCGGCCACATGAAAGGGAAACCTGGGAAATGGAAACAAGGGGCCTTGGAAATAGTGGTTCTGAGACAGTAATAGAGGGAGACAATTACCCGAGACAGTAATAGAGGGAGGCACCAATGACACGTGAGAAGCGAGAAGCGCTGAAGAGGCAAAGACGCACCAGAGCAAAAATGGAATCCTCAGTAATTGACACCTGGAGGAAGGGCGGAACATGCTGAAGATAAGGTAAAACACACACTTCTTTGACTTTAAGATGAAAAGAGGGCGCGCGCGGGCGGGGGCGGGTGGGGAAAGATCACCCTCGAGATCCTGAGATTAAGCTCGCGCGCCAGCCCCCGCCCGTGACCCCCAGCGCCCCCCGAGTCGGCCGGGCTCAGTCATGATCAAGACGATTCTCATCTTCAACAACCACGGGAAGCTGCGGCTCTCCAAGTTCTACCAGCCATACAGTGAAGATACACAACAGCAGATTATCAGGGAGACATTCCATTTGGTATCTAAGAGAGATGAAAATGTTTGTAATTTCCTAGGAGGAGGATTATTGATTGGAGGATCTGACAACAAACTGATATACAGACATTATGTAACATTATATTTTGTCTTCTGCGTAGATTCTTCAGAAAGTGAACTTGGCATTTTAGACTTAATTCAGGTATTTGTGGAAACACTAGACAAGTGTTTTGAAAATGTTTGTGAACTGGATTTAATTTTCCATGTAGACAAGGTTCACGATATCCTTGCAGAAATGGTGATGGGGGGAATGGTCTTGGAGACCAATGTGAATGAAATTGTCACACAAATTGATGCACAAAACAAACTGGAGAAATCTGAGGCTAGCTTAGCAGGAGCTCCAGCCCATGTTGTGTCAGCTGTAAAGAATATGAATCTTCCTGAGATCTCAAGAAATATTAACATTGGTGACATCAGTATAAAAGTGCCAAACCTGCCCTCTTTTAAATAAAAAATTAAAAAGGTCACTTTCAGATAAAATCTAGTGGGAATAAGTCATCTAAGTTTACCATGCAGTTGTTTACCAAAAATAGAGGAGAGGAGAGTCTTAATTTTTGCTCTTGGATTTAAGTCAAGGTACTGTATAGAAGTTGTTTAAATCAGTATAGAAGTTCAATGTTGCTTTTCTTGCTCAGTGGTTTTAAAGAAATTGAGTAGTTTTGGTGTAATTTTTCTTTTTCTTTCTAAATTGCATTCCTGTGCCCACCTAAGGCATGCCTCTATGTATTGGCTACCACAGTATTTCAAAAAGTGTTTGAGACATTTCTTTAAATTATGTACAACCCAAAATGTTTGGTGTTTTGTATGGATCACAAGTGCAGCATTCCTTAATTCTTTCTGTACTTGTCATAACTATTAAAGAACCAAGTATGTAGTATGTATTGCATGAAAACATGACCTTTTTCTCTTAGTTGAAATAAACCCCAAGGTAACTGGACTTCAAAAGCACCTTTCTGTTTGCCTGATACAGACTTTAGCAATAATTTTTTTTATGATCCTCTAACTCAACAAAGTAAATAAAAATATGTTTTATCACTGTTAAGAAAAAAAAAGAAGAAGAAAAGAGGGCTTGGAGCAAGTACAGGGGGTAGGATTTTGCCTTGCACATGGCAGACCCAGGTCCAATCCTTGGCACCCTTTATGGTGCCCTGAGTTCGCCAGGAGCGAGCACAGAACCAGGAGTAATCCCTGAGCAATGATGGTTGTGGCTCCCAAAACCAGAAAGAAAGGAAGGAAGGAAGGAAGGAAGGAAGGAAAGAAGGAAGGAAGGAAAGAAGGAAGGAAAGAAGGAAAGTAACCAGCAATTCTAAGAAAAATAAAAGACTGAAGAAAATCATGGTCCAAACATGAAGGAAATTACAACGAGGTCTGCTTGGCTGATGAGCATGCTCTCCATGTGGGAGCTCTAGGTTCGATCCCAGATTCCTCCTGTTTCTGGAGCACTGCTGGGAACAACCCCCAAGTAATGTGCCAGAAGTATGTCCTGAGCACCATTGGGTGTGGCTTAAAATAAAAATTAAACAAGTAAAATAATGAAATGAGGAAGGGTAAGAATAATGGATGGAGAATGAAAAATAAAAATCCTTGCCTCTTTAATGGCAGAAACACCATTTCTTTGTGGCCAGGGTTAAAGTGTGCCCATAATAAATAAATACCTTGCTCACTTGACATCCGGTTACTCATTGATTTGCTCGAGTGGGCGCCAGTAATATCTCCATTTGTCCCTGTCGGGTGCTAGTATAGCCCAATGGCGTCTGCTCGCTCCAGGAACATGAAGAGCCTCAAACCAATCGTTTAGGGTCTTGATGAAGAAATCTGTCCATCTCGTAGGTGGCTGACCATGAGATCTTTTGACGTCCTGTGGAATCCAGTTGGTAACAGCTCTAGTCCAGCGGTCGTCTCCAAATCTCATTACATGTCCAGCCCATCTGATTTTCGATGCCTTGGCAAATGAGACAGTGTCCCTGATTCTTGATCATCGATGGAGGTCAGAGCTCCGGATTCTTTCTCTCATTTGAGTGACGTGTGATACTCCAAGCATAGCTCTTTCAATTTCTCTTTGGGAGATGCAATTAGTGTTCTCATCCTGTTTTCGTAGGGCCCAGTTCTCTGAGATGTGTGTTAATGCAGGAAGAACAGTGGAATTGAAGAGATGTGCCTGGATCTGGAGGTTCTTCGTCCTCTTAGCTATTTCTTCGATGCTCTTGAAGGCGTTCCAAGTTGCTCTCTTCCACCTGCGCAACTCAGATGCCAGGTCATTCATCATTTGAGTTCTCAACCTAGGTACACATAACTTGCATTTGGAGATCTTCGTTCCATTGAGAACGAATGGAATGTCAGGAATGAGACTTTTTCTCATAAACATTGTCTTCATGAGATTCAGCTGTAGTTCGACCTTTCCACGCTCACGGTCGAAGTCGGTCAGCATTTGTGCCACTTGGCTAATGTTTGGTGTTGTTAGGAATGATGTCATCAGTGAAGCGGAGGTGGTGTAGTTGCTGACCATCTATCTTCACTCCCATTCCTTCCCATTCCAGTCTTTGCATGACATTCTTGAAGGTGGCTCTGAAGAGTTTCAGTGAAATAGTATCACCCTGCCAAACCCCACTCTTGACATGGATGATCACTTCCTTGTAGAATGGTGAGATCCTGGTAGTGAATCCATCATACAGCTCACAGAGGATCCTGATGTAATGAGTTTGAACGCCCTGTTTGGCTAGGGCTTTGATGACCACTTCAGTCTCAACAGAATCAAAGGCCTTCTTTGAATCAATGAATGTTAGACAGAGCGGCATCTTGAACTCCCGAGAAACCTCAATGAGCTTGCTTACTGTGTGGGAATGGTCGATAGTGCTGAATCCTTTTCAGAACCCTGTTTGCTCGCATGGTTGTCCTTCATCTAGTGTTCTGCCAATCCTATTCAGGATGACTCAAGTGAACAGCTTGTAGATGACAGACAACAGGCAAATCAGGCGATAGTTGCCAATGTTGTGGATGTCTCCCTTCTTGTGTAGTAGAACAGTCCTGCTGGTTTTCCATTGGGATGGAAACTTGCATTCAGACAGGTAGCCAGTGTATTGATGAGTACTGATGGCAGGTTCTTCAGGTGTTCTGGTCTGACCTTATCTGGGCCAGGTGCTGTTCGCTTCTTTACCGATGAAATGGCGTGTCGGATTTCAGAAGGAAGAATGTTGGGAACGACATATCCATTCTGTGGAATTTGGTATGTGGGCAGGTGGACGTGGCTATCGAAGAGATCTGAGTAGAAGTCATGGATAATCTTCTCCATTGCCCTTCTGGAAGATGTGATGGATCCATCAGGACATTGGAGGGCAGTCATCTTGGTCTTGTAGTTGGTCAAGGACAGGCGGGCATTGCAAATGCTTTTCCCGGCTTCTGCTGCATTGGCCAGCATTGCTGCTCTTCTCTCTTTGAGATCTTCCTTTATCGCTTCTCTGTACTGCTTTGCAAAGTCAGACGTTCGCTAGCTATTGCCTGAGGCTTGCACCAAGCCACATTGGCAAATGAGCTCGAGAGTTTTTGAAGACAGCTGTCTTTTTGTGGCTATCTCTCTCTCTCTCTCTCGGCGTTCCTTGCACAATCATGGAGGTGTTGAACCAGTCGATCGTATTCTTCGTCAGTGTTATCAATGACGGCATCTTCCCATGTTGCTGCAGTAGTGGCAAAGAGCTCCCAGTTGGTGATCGTTCTGGAGTTCTCTCTTAAACTTTGCAGCCTTTTCTCCCCGCTCTGTGAAGTAGAATTTTGCACAAAGGAGACGGTGGTTCGATCCCGTTTGAAATTTTGGGACAACAGTGACATCGGTCAGACAAAACCAGGCAGCTCCTCAAGCAGGTGGGGGCATGGCAGAGGCAGAACCTGGGGACCCAGATGAGCACCGGGTGGCCTAAGACCCTGGGCCTGGGGACAGGCCTCAGGCATGCTCAGTGGGGCTTGGGCTTGGGCCACAGACATGGGGGTGGGCAGGGGTTCTGGGGACCCCAGCTGGGAGCCTGTGTCGTGGTCCAGCCTCCAGTACACTTGGCACAGAGGCAGGTCATTAACTTCGCCAACACTCGAGCTGGACGAGTAAAACTCCTCCTCCAGCTCCTACAGGTCCACCGACACCTCGTCCCACAGGCTGATGAGCTTCTGGTCACAGTCCTCCTGTAGCACTACAGCTGCTGGTTACACTGTTGCACGTTGAGGATGAGGAACTGCTTGAGGTCGGACACAAGCTTCATCAGGGACTCTCCGGCTTGGACGATGTTGGCGGCCCACACATGCATCTCGTAGTGGTCCTTCTCTCCCTGGGTAGCCCTGGACACCTGCGTCTCATCCTCGATCTTGGCGGTCTTGATGATCTTGGTGAAGTTGTCCATGAAGGACTTGTCGTCATCCCTGAGGCGCTTGGTGTATGACTGCAGCAGCGTCGCCTTGCTCTGCGGCAGCACTTGCTGCTGGGCCATGTCCCGCCGCGCTGGCCCCCAGGGCCACGAGAAGAGGCGCCCGGCCTGTGGCCCAGAGTTTCTTCTAATGAGATACTAAGGTGCCTGAAGTTCAAGGAGTAAGAAATAGAGACAGGAGAGATAGTACAGCAGGTGTGGTACTTGCCTTGCACACAGCCAACCCGGGGTTCAATCCCCAGCATCCCATATGGTACCTGGAACACCACCAGGAGCGAAAACAATGTACTGTATCTGGGTGGGCAAACATGGAAATACCTTCAAGATACATGGTCCTATGAGAAAAAAGATGTTGCAAAACATGTGCAGTTTGACCACAACCACGTAAAGAAGAAAAAGCAAGGCTGGAGAGATAGTACAACAGGTAAGGTGCTGGCCTAGTAAGTGAATGTGACTGTGACTCTGGTTCTAATCTCAGCAACGCCCATGGTGAGTCCAAAGTCAGGGATAACCCCTGAGCATTGCCAGGTGTATCCAAAAAAAGGAATAAGAAATAGAGATTGTTGTTTTTATTTTATGCCACATCCAGTGGTGTGGCTCAGGTCTTACTCCTGGCTTTGCACTTAGGGATAACTCCTAGTGGGCTAAGAGGACCTTATGGGGGGGGCTGGGATTCGAACCAGGGTACATCACATGCAAGGCAAGTGCCTTACCTTATGTATTATTCCTCAGGCCCCCAAAAATAGAGTTTTAGTACATTGTTTCAGTTTGCAAAGTGACAGAAAATATGAAAAATATAAATGCATTTTTAGGGGCTGGAGCTTGTACTACAGCAGGTAGGGTGTTTGCCTTCCACATGGCCAATGTGGCCAACTTTGACACAATCTCCAGCATCCCATACAGCCCCCTGAGCACCACCAGGAGTAATTCCCTAGTGCAAAGCCCTAAGCATCGCTGGGTGTGGCCCCCAAACAATAGGAACAACAATAACAATAATAATAATAAAATAAAAATACCATTTGCAAACAAAATAAATTTGCTTGCAAAATTTGGGAAAACAATAGATACAGAATTATGAGGAGAACGTAGTTAAACCCTTGTTTTCTTGGGACTGCAGAGAGAAGACAGCCGGTAAGGTGCTTGTCTTGCACATGCTAACCCTGGTTTGATCCCAGCACTGTGTATGATGCCCAGGGAACCTCCAGGAGTGATCCCTAAGCAAAAAGTTAGGAGTAAGCCCTGAGCACAGCTGGGTGTGGCCCTCAGACCAAAAAATAAATAAATAAATGTAATTATGAAATCAATCAACCCTTGTTGTCCATGGCAAATATTGCGAAGTCAAGGAAACAAAGAGAAGAGGACTGTAGCTCATACTTGGCATGCAGGAAGTCCAGTTTGACCCCTGACACTGCATATTACCTGACCTCCC